AACGATATAAATTATCATAACTACTATTGCAGATGACTTCAAATAGGGTGCGTCCAACTAGTTCACCCTGCAATACGTCCAAGTTGCGAAAACGTCTTGAACTTATTGTCTCTCAGCTCCGATCCATTATTGTAGAGCTTGTGTTTTTCAAGATGAAACAATATTTCTGGTATAGTATCTGATAAATCTTTATTAAATAATGCTATTACGATTTAAAGTCGTCTGTCACATTGCGGCATGCGCAAGCTCCGTACCGACGGATCAGGCTGGTACTTCGGATTAATTTACAGTCCAAAATATCGGCTGATTCCTATTCGGGTTCCAGTGAAGCTGATTTTTTAGTCGCCTAAATACGGATTTTCGAACGAAATAAAATTCCAGTGATATGTACCTGTCTTTTTCACATTTATTGTCTTTAAGCGATCAGGAGACGTAGACCAAAGTGATCCGGTACTTGATCTCCTTGCTCACTAGCTTTGCCCTTTTCAGTTACTTCATAACTGAGCTTTTGTAAGTTGGCCAAGTCTGTGATGAGCTTCAATGAGAAGGTGCCACTTGGTGCCACGACAAATGACTGTGGTCATACCATCATAGATCGCCTTCTTTCTGATCGGCAGCTCTATGGACTAGTTGTGATTTGGTGGTGAGCAATTCTCACTCGTTGATGATGGCAAAAATCTTGTTTACTTGTGGTCTGAGAATCCGCCCAATAGACCTTATATGTGGATTAGCCTAGCAAACATCACAACGCCTGTTTTCCTAGGCATGTATAATCCTGAAAATTAAGTTCGGATCAACTTGTCAATGAAGAAGGAGGTTACAATGACTTAACTTGCACCTGTGCTCTAAAGTGAAAGACAGGTTCTACTATCGTCTGGTCATTCCAGCCATTTAGGCGGGATTCAAGTCAAGCAAGGGAAATTGTTGACATAAATAATTCGGTCTCTGAACCCCACAACGTTGGTAGATATATTCTACATGAAATCATGGTCATCATCATCATCATCGTGCGACACTGGTAGTTCTAGGAAAGCTAATTGCACGTAGGCTATGTCGACAGATGTTCATAATAGCTGTGAATTGAAAGAGATCTCTTGAAGTCGTGTGGTGTAGAGAGTAACCAATATTCGCTGAGCAAATGCACTTCAGGTTCGAATCCCGCAAGCCTTTATAAACGGTCTAGGCGAGGTCGAAGTGAGATTGTGGGTATACGTAATTTGAACCTTGGATGGCATCAGGCTAACTGTTCATCCATCATTATCATCATTAGCAGCAGTAGCATCAGTATCAACATCATAATCAACAGCATCCTCATCTACCACATAATCATTATCAGCATCATTGCGCCATAATCATATTTGGTTGAATGCAAAATGCTATTTGACTCTATCGAGAAATTCTGCGAGCGAGGGTGAGTTGAAGTGGACCTGTAGATCGCCCTGGCATCGTGTGGCTGGGAATTTTCTCTCTGTGCCTGCACGGTACATCTTTGACTCCTACTGGGTTGCTGTTGTGACTGCATTCCGCCTTTGATGAGTGGTGAGAGTAATGGAGCAAGTCATGCATATTCTCATATTGAATAGGGCTTGTTGTAATATCAGATCAACTGATAGGATGAGCATTAAATAATTGCGATATGCACCGACCTTTGCCTCACATTGGGAATTTTCTAGTCCCTGCCGATTGATCAGAAGTCGGTATGAATGAGGCAGAATGTATAGGTCTATGGTTGTTTGAATTAATCCCGTCAATGTCATTATTTGCTCTTTTAGATACTTTCGACTGGTCTCCTAGCCTTCCACTTCAGCGCACATTTGCTGAAGGTCGAATAACAGGGCTATCACGACAACAAGTGAAATCGCCCATCACTCGGTACCCTTTGTTATCATGCTTCAATCACCACGAGAGCACACATTGACTGCTTATAAGTATACGCATGTAATCATCAATGAAGGGGAAATTTATTAAAAAATTGTCCGATGTTGTTGCTCGGCTTTGTGTTGTTGAGTGACAAGTTGCCTGTTCAGTGGCAATGAGGCAAAAGTGATTATAGAAGCTTTTTCGCTTGGCTTCCGCACCAAATGAGTTGGCTCTTCAGACCCCATTTCGTCAACCTCTCTCCTCTTATCACTTGTCCCAGAGGCAAAGCAGTCAAGTTGGGGATGGAGGTTGGAGGTTGGAGGTGGGGTGGGGCTGATACCAGCGATTCTGCACATGCAAGAAGGGACGCGAGAATAGTTGCTAGCCCGATAAGCCAATGGTGACGCAACAAATTGGACGTGGAAACTAGGCCTACTTAAGTGCGCTAACACATGCAGCTACACTTGCTGGCAGGTCTGGCCCCAAGACGGCATGCGACGGAGTGATAAAAAGATACGTGTCGAGACTTTTCGCGATAGAGGCTCATCTTGAGGCTTCGTGTTAATCCCATCTCGGCATGGGGAATTGCGCAACTCGTCTTGTAGCCACTCAACTCGATATTGGGTTAAACATGACGGGCAATCTAGCCAAGCATACCGATAAATGACACAGACGGATTAGATCTATGTGATGCATGAGGTTGGACAGAAGCGCAAGTGTGTGAGTGTGTGAATGAGAGAGAGAGAGAGAGAGAGGGGGGATGGGAGATAGAGGTCGAATTGGAATAGGTAAAGTGTAGGCGTAAAGAATGGGAATCATCAATCTTCCCCTGTCCGCCTCGGATGCTGTTACCGGGCCAATCAAGTAAACGTAATCCTTACTTTTTCCTTTGAATTGGCCCCAATAATGAGTACTGCCACTTCAAATGTGGCCAAATATCGGGTGGGATGAGCCTATGTAGGCACTCGTAAAAGGGTAAACCAGCATCAGGCCTTACTTAATTTTCACCAACAACTTGGATTTTCAGGAAGCGAGGCTCATGAGCTCTAGTGTAAACGCCTAACTGCCCCGGAAACAAGTCTGCGATAGCAATAAAAACCCCACTTCTGTCCCAGCTACCTATGGACGGAATACACCATTTTGATGAGGTCTCGTAGGCTCTGAGAATGTGTCAAGAGGAATGACAGAGAAGGCTTGATTTTGAGCCATTCAACCCAATTAGCTCTAACAAATAGCAAATTATTTGCTCCATCGACAATCCCATCACCTAATGCGATATGAGAAAATGTCGGACCTTGGGTAAAATTCACATCTGTCTTGTGAGTCAGGGTAACTACTGGCAGCTTGGTGTAGTGGATTAGTGTAGAAAGCACACACTGCACTGTAATGGTTCGAGTCCCGCAGAGGCTGCTGATAAAACCAGTTTGTGCGAAGTCGAAACGGCAGTCCAGTCTTGCGTGGATGAGAACACCGTTTGGAAAGCAAGGCTATGTGAAAGGCAATAAAAACGTAAGACCTACTCATATGATTGTAGAAAAATTCAACTTCCCCTTTCACTCCCATTATTACTTTAAAGAAATAGTGTGAATACTTCCCATCTTACAAATAATGCCTTGCTAAACACGACGAAACATTCGGAGAACCCCGTCAATAAATGAAGTTCAAGAAGTGGTGATGCAAGAAAAGAAAACGATGGTAGGAGCTTCAATAGTTCTCGTAGATACGAAGGCCAAGATGTTGTGGTCTCTTTTCGATGTATAGATGTTATCTGACCTCGTTTTCGCAACTTAGTCATGTTGTCAGGGCTACTTAATTGGACGCACCCTGTGTAAAATGCTCTGCTATAAGTGAAGTCAATCATTTGACGAACTTACTGCCGAAACGTTTGCATGATCACTCATCTTTCTGTCATGGCCCATAGTCTCTTTGACGAGTTGTAGCTTGGTGCTAAAACTGGCTATACCCAATGGCAATGCCGACTACGATACCGGCGGCAAGTCTGAGAAAGTACCAGGTCAACAGTCCGACGCCTGAAAATATGATAACTGCTATAGCAGAGGACTTCTTACAAGGTGTGTCCATCTAAGTCTACCTGACAACACGACCAAGTTGCGAAAACGAGGTTGAACCACATCTATTTGGCTTGTCAAGTCTCAGTGAAAATGCTCATGAGACTGTAATAACAAGAAATAAGAGTTCGGCAAGGACATTCTGGGACATTTCCATTCATTTTTTTGTAATAAAATGATATTTCAACCATATAGTTTTGCCTTTACTTTCTGCCCTACGTC